GCCTGCTTTATTGTCCTCTTCCTGCTGAGTGGCTTCCTCAGCTTCTCCTTCTCACGCAGGAACATGGCAACCACTACGGCTGAGGTCTTAAGTGTCACCCAAGGGCTCCTGTTTTGAAGGAGTGGTGCCCAGCCTGCGGCACTGCTGGGATGAGGTGAAGTCTAATGCAGTGAGTTTTGGTCACTAGAGCACGCCCTTCAAGGTGATCCTGGGCCCTGGCGCCTCTCCTCTGCCTGTTTGCTTCCTGAATGCCATGAAGCAAGCAGTCCCTTCTGCACACTTCCACTGCCAGGAAGTACTGCACCACCAGGGGCACCAAATGGGGAGTCCATGAGCCATGGGCTGAAATAAACCTTCCCTCCTTGTACACTGTTTACCTCAGAAATGTGTCAGTGGCAGAAAGCTGCCACAGCTTGGGAAAGCTCTGAGCTTGTGTTACAAATCTGCACTCTTACTTTTCCAGGCTCAACCCCAAACCCTCAGGTTAGGGATGCACCCCCAGCCCAATCAGCCGTGGCCAGAGGGCTGATCCAGCTGTGTGAAAGGGACTTGGGGGCACTATCCCTACCACTTTAGGACCAGAGAAGAGAAGCAGCCTCAGGGGACACAGGGCTGGGCACGAAAGGCAGCCAGTCTTTTGTGCACCTTTCAAACCTCCCTCGTCAGCACTGTTCCTGACCAGGCCCTCATGTTCCTCGCTGAAGCAACACCAGCCCTCATACACCCCACTCATCACCCCGCACTCTGTCTGCCACGGGGACTGGGCTGTCCTTTAAAGTCCCTTCTGCGAAAGGTCAGCTTTCTTCTTCTCTCCTTTATAGCTGCATAGTTTGTTTTGTTCTGCCCTATTTTTATACCCGTCTTTCTGCTTTGCAGATAGTGGGTGCTCGGTTAACCAAGAGGACTTCTGCAACTTTCTATCCCCTCTAGAATGTGGTAGGCTCTGAATTCAAATTTGTTGTTTGTATCTTCACGGCTAAATAATTCCAAGCTGAAGGGAATGTTGACTTTTACAAATACTTGTATTTAGATGGGAAATATGTCTATTTTTATGAAAATTATATTAATTTTATAAGAATTCACTTCCACATTTATGGTGGCAAAATTAAAGTATATATAATGTTAATTATAGCAAATATTTTGACATATAGAAAGAAATAAGGCCTAGTGTACTAAATTTAAAAAGGAATTCTACAGAACCTTAAGCAATAGGAAAGGTTAGATTTGAAATACTCAAAATCGTTTTTTAAAAAATTCTTTACAATGACTAGTATTTGCCCAAGAAATTTTCCAAAGAGCCAGAGACCTCACCATCTAATTTCCTTCTGCCCAGGATTATTAATTAACATCTTTCTCCCGCTCAGCACCCCCTGCTGAAAGGAAGAAAGTAAACCCAGGGCCGCAGGGAGAACTGTCGTCTCCTCTACGCCGCGCGCCCCGACCAGGCTGCCGTCCAGCCCTGGGGGCGCCGGGCTCGGCCCGGGCTCGGGCCCCAGGTCCGCCCGGTGCAGACGCGGGTGCGCCGAGCCCTGTGCAGCGCCGGCGGCGGGTCCGGAGGTGCGGGCGGCGGGTCCCGAGGTTGGGGCGGTCGGGGTCTGACTTCGCCTGGAATCTTTCTTCCACTACGGTTACAGTTCTGTAAGGAAAATAAAGTCTGAGCTGCGTCCTCCTGGGGTCCCAACTCCAAGCGCTCGCGGAAAAAGGAGCCTTCCGCTCTCCGCACGGGCGTCCTCCCGCCTCCCGCCTCCCGCGCCGGCCCGGCCCCGAACGCGCGGTCCGAGCTGAGCACCGGGGCCCGGGCAGGCACTCTAGCCGGGCCTCCGCCTCGGCGTCTCACGCGGCTCGTGGGTCCCGGGTGCTCAGCCCCGCTGCGCACAAGGAGGACCTGCAGCCAGGGCCCGGCCCCGCCCACCGGCGGTGCCGCCAGGGGCGGGACTACAACTCCCGTCGGGCCCCGCGCTCGCCCCGCCCCGCCCCCTTGGACCGGCGGGAGGAGCCGAGCGCGGCCGGGACGCGCGCACAGTCTGTCTGCCCGCGAGGATGGGTGTTCGTGTGTTTGTCGCTTCGTCCTCGGGCTCGGTGGCGGTGAGCGGGCGGGGTCGTGCGGGCCGGCCCCTGCGGAGGGGTCGTGCGGGTGGGGTCTGCGGGTGGGTTCCGCTCCCGTCAGGTGGGCTGAGGACCTGTCACGCGGGATCGCAGACTGGGCGGGGAGGGGTGGCTGGGGTCGGCGGGAAAGGGAGCGGGGCGCCCCGGGGCTCGGGCTGCCGGGGCGGCGTGGCGGGCTCCCGCGTTCGGAGCCTGGGGCGGCTGCCTGCTGCCCGAGACGAGGTGGGGCGGCGTGGGTTTGCTCCCCTGGCTTGCGAGTGAAACAGGTTCGGGGGTGACCGCGCGCCGCCCGCCCCCCGCCAGGGCAGCCGCTCACCTGAGCCACGCGCAGGTGTGTCCTGTTCCGCGAGGGGTGGCATCCCGTCACTTTGCTACAGGCGTTGTGAATAGTTTACATCTATATGCAAGTGCGTGTCCCATGGGTAAATTGCATCTTAAGAATCTAGGAACCGCGGTCTCTAGTTATTTTTAGTTGTTCGATTTGGTGGATTTTCAGTTTCTTAGGAAGTTGGTTTGTCTTTTATTTTTAAGTAAGTTGAATAGGCAGAGATGTTAGGTTTTAAGGAAAAATTCAGTAGTACACTTGACAGCCCACTGTGGAAGACTGGTCGCATATGCGTTTTATATGGTTATTGTAACTTGGGTTTCCTTAGCCAAGAGATAAACTATAGATTCAAGAAACTTCTTAATGGGTAATCAGATACATCCGGAAGTGCCATATTGATTGTTTGACGTTGGTCTGTCCAATTAATTGACTGCCCACTTAGTTCAGCGGGATTGACCCACAATCTGTGGGGTGGGGTACAGGATGGAATAAAATATTGTTTAAAAATCTTTGTATGGTAAAAGACACCCCCGCCCCCGCACTATAACAATAGATGGGAATCTCCAACTTATCTTTATATGCAGCCATATTCTCCTCAAACTCCTGGAAGTTCCCGGTGTTTTATAATTTGTGATTGCTTAGTCATACCTGTCTTTTGTCCTTTCCCCATTAAGACTGCACATGGTGTGTTCACAAACCTGTAATGTTTCACGGATAAATTTATTGAGATGTGCTCCTTACTAAGAATGCTATAAAGCTTTTGATTTCACCATGAACTTGCCTCTTAAATAGTTTTTCCACCAGCGTTTTATTGGTTGCAGAAGGGATGCTTTATAGTATTAAGCCTAAGCTATCATGGCGAGTCAGTGTCAAGTCAAGGTTATATTCTTGGCTCATCCCGTCAGTAGGTCAAGATGCCTGCTCTGAACCTTTTTCTGTACCTTTTTAACTTTTAAACTTAATGCTGTGTTTTGCACATAGAACTAAAATTGAGAGACTGAGGCTTTAAGGTGGATGCTGACTTGGGACATAAGTTTAGATTTGGCGTTCCATCTCTGCCCGAGTTTCGTGCCTGTAAAATGAAAGATTTGGATGAGTAGCTCAGAAGTGCACCATAGCTTTAAAATGTGTCAGTTCAGAAAACATGCGTGAATCCACTTTTAAGAGTTCCTTTTGCTGGAACAGTGTGCTTATTAGCCTCATAGTGAATTTATTCTTTTTTTTTGAATGTTTTACTGTGATTTCTTAGGTCCCCTCACTTCACTGTCTGGTAGCATGTGTTCTGTGGTTTCATTTCAGCTGGAGGACACTGGGTTACCACATATTCACAGCTCTAATAAACACTAATTATCTACTTCTGCTGTTTAAAGACCCAATCTTTTCAGGTCTTGGACAGTCCTCATTCATTGAATCTCCCTAATTGTAGTATTATCCCTGTATCAGTACCCAGTTTTCCAGTAATATCAAAATCATTTTTGGTGGTGTAACGTTATACCCGTGTGCAAGAATATTAATTTCTGGGATTAGAGGTGTAGTTCAATGGTAGAGTGCTCGTTAGCATTAATGAGGCCCTGGGTTTAGTCCCTGACACTGCCACAAAGGGAAAAAAAGATTTCTTAGAACTAATGAAGATGGTTAGGCATCTCTTAAGGGAACCTAATGAGAGTTACAGCATTAAGCGGTGTCCTGCTTTCATGGGAGAGTTATGTTTTCCCTCCAGCAGTGATGGGATTGACTCGTGGCATTGCTTTATTCAGTACCCAACCTTGACGAGCAAGTGCCTGGGAGAACATGTGATTTGCTTCCCAAGTCAGTTTGGTGTTAGTAGAAATTTATTAAGCCACAAGGATGGAACGTGAATAGAGTTAGACTTAGTTGAGTCCCAGGGTTTTCCAAAAGATGCTCTGTGCTAGTCAGCAGCACATTTAAACAAATTATCCGCCCCCTCCTTGTAATATTAGGGATTAAACCCAGGGCCTTCTCACTGAACTATATGCCCAACTTTTTTTATTTTTTAGTTTGAAACAGGGTCTTTTAAATTACTAAATTGCCCAGATTGGGTTCAAATTTATGATTTTCCTGCCTCAGTCTCCTAGAGTGCTGGGATTCCAGGGGTGCACCCCTACACCCAGCTCATTTAAACAAACTAAAGGAAATGGCCTTCTCTGGCAGTTCCTGGTGTTTGCCCTGAACTCTGGAGCTTTAGCAACTGGAATAACCAGCATAGAAGGGTGACTGACCATTCATCCTCCTAGCGCTAGGTGAAGTCTACCTTTACTAGGAAAAATGGTACTGCTGCATTAAGGTATGGACAAGAGAAAATCAGATCTCTTGTGCAACTGATAATGCTGCTGTCACTCATGGTACAGGGAAGGGGGCATGTTAATTCTAAGAGAACAGTACATGCATAGAAATGTCATTTGAAAACTTATTTATTCTGAATTAATTTATTCCCCAAACGGGAGACCTTGGTAACTTTGTCCAGGAAATAAGTTAATACAACTTTTACTTTTAAAATTGAAATCACTCAGTTGTTTCATTCATTTATTCACTCACTTAGCAGTATCATCAAAGAGTGTCTGCACCTTGGCCGGCACTGTTCTCAGTCTTGTAGGAACCAGTGGAGAATAGAGTGCAGTCTCTGTTCTTAAGGAATTTATAGATTAGGTGAGCTGATAAGCTAGGTAGAACTAGCATTGTAAAGTACAGCCCAAGGACACATGCCTCTTTCAGGCACATTTTTACCAAAGATAGAAATAATATAGGCAGCAGAGGGAGGCATTGCAGGATGTCAGATAAGGAGGAAATATGCTAGAAATCATAAAATATGCATGGGGGAGCTTTGGGCAGATGTCAGGGAGAGAAACTGAGTTAGATTTGGAGCCTGGGGGAGAGTTCATAGTGCATCTTGCTCAGATTGGAAATGGAGTTTTGGGTGGGAGGGGCAGGTTATAGAGGACCCATGTCCTCTATAAGAACAAGGTAAACTCTTAAGTCCCTGAAGGAAACCCATGATAACAGACCTCATCCTGCTCAGCATCAACAATGATGTATTCTGTGTCTGGAGCTTGTTTGCTGCCTGGAGCCTTTTGTCCGACAGGGAATGAGGTCCCATCTTACAGGGAGGGTCCCCTGGTGTGTGATATCAGAAGAATCTTTACCTTCCTATTTGCCTTGGCTAAAATTTCACAAAAGACAAATAAAATGTTTTACCTTTTATTAAAATTCCTAGGCTCAGAGTTGAAAGGAAATTGGAAGATACCTTCTAGTGAAGCCCAACCAACTTTATAGAGTAAGAAATCTGGGGTCAGAGCTTAGATGTAATTGGAAACCAGAGTCCTTGTTCCTGAGTGCATTCATTAATGAGTCCATCTTTATATACATTCATTAATGCCCTGATTTGTTTAACAATCAAGGGTTGGAAATTAAGTACCAGGCTCTTTGGCAATAGTGGGTAATAGGGGTCAGGGTGGTCAGGAAAGGACTTGGACTCTGCCTTGTGGTGCAAATCAGTATTGCCTCTTTTAAGCTTGGAGACTTGGCATGCAAGTGTCAATCAGAGATGAAGGCCTAATTCTAATTTGCAGCATGTTTCTGTGGGAAGGGCAAGATGAGGCAGACAGCAATATATCCCTGGATGTTGGGGAGCTACCATTAAAGGGAGCAAAAGGGACAGATGAAAAGCAAAGTTGCAAAATGGAGTTTTGTCTAGGGCTGTGGTGTTGTTTTCAAGTAAGGGTGGGTATGAAGGGGGAACAAAGAACCTACACTCAGGGTTGTCTTGTTCTTTGAAACTGTAAAATGTATACTTAGTGTTTTGCATGATTATTTTAAACATGCAATTATGTGTCAAGCTATTGAATCCATCTGGAGTGGATTCAGTGAAACTTCCCTGTGTAAGGAAACGTCAGGAAAGAGTTCCAGAGCAGTTCATGTCAGGATGTGATTGTGCACAATGGGTAGTATTATTTCCTAAATTAGTCCAGTGTCACAAAGAGCTAGGGCAAGTATGGTGCATTCCCTAGGATCTTCACTGTCACGCACAAGGGAGTTATTTACTGTGATCTTACAGATGAAGAGGCTGAAGAGAACTGACTTGATGGAGATCCCACTCAGTAGGTTCTAGGGCCAGGAGTCAGACCCTGGTGAACAGCTCCAAAACTTCCAGAGCAGAAGTTCTCCTGTCCCATCTTGAGGGAACGAGAGTGTCAGGGATGGTTGTTTGTAGTAAGCAGGGCCCCGCCCAGGGAGCTGTCCTGCGCAGCACAAGTGGTGCAGGAGTGTTTGCCCTGGGAGAGGAGTGTGGAACCAGGTTAGGGAGGAAGGCTGTGCCTACCGGAAGTGATTAGGAGAGGAAGGAATGGCAGGGGCGGGG